TGCATACATTAGGAAGAAGGCAGAGAAACAATCTGTCCAGGAGAGACTCACTCAGATACAGTCTTTTAAACTGACATCCACGGCCATGTGCAATTAGAGATCATGTAAGGAGAAATCCCCAACAATATAAGACCGTCTTCACACAGGACTTATTTTGACATAGTAAAGTGGAAGAAGGGCCGTCCTGGTGACTTAGGCTTTAAGATGCTGACCATGTAATTGCAGTATCCTCAAGTTGAGTCTGACAGAGTTTCTGGCAGCTCTAGACTTAACAACCCAAAGAAATCTTTAAAAAGAGTTGTAGAGCAGGGAGAAGCAATTCTATGCATCTCAACAATAGCACAGGGTGGACGGGGAAGGGGAAAAAGTATAAAACCATCCCTCAGGAAAAACTCCTGTGATTTAAGTTAGACAGTTACAGTTACAGTTACAATCCACAATTTCTCTGCAATTTATATCAGAAATTTACTGGGAAACCCCTCAAATTTATCTAAGACGTGAACAGATGCAAAAAGATGTCAGTTTGGTAAAATTAATTCATCTAATTAGAAATTAGATGAAAGACATGGTCAAAGCCAATTTCAGATATCTGTGACAAAGGCCGTCTGCATTGCTTCACATCACTAACCTGACTCGCCAGATGGTTTGTTACACAGAACCATCTGGGAAGGCTTCATTGGAAACTGTTTGGAAAAGGGCAGGTGCTTTAAAAAAATACTTGGCAGAGGATTGGATGAACCATCTGTCTATCACCGTCTATCACGAGCTAACTTCAACCAGTCAGATTCTCCATCCTTCCCATTTTTTTCACTACCAGTGGAGCAAGTTGAAAAAAGAGCAAAAAGATCTTTCCCATGGAGAAAAGCCTTCAGGGCTACTCTTTGCTCTTTTGATGAAGAAATACTCTCCAGTTCTGATATAACTGATGCTACAGCAGCATCTCTGCTAACCTCTTTAGGAGCTGTAGTGTAGCTGTAGCAGTAGTTGCTCCCTCATGGGACGTTGATTGGTCCAAACCACAAGTGAATAGCCTGGAGCCTGGCAAGATGGATTCTGGCTTGCAAGAAATTCAACTGCCTGTTAGCTCATCACCTAACATCACCTAACATCGCCTAATGTTGCTTAATGTTGCCTAACGTTTCCTAATGTTTCCTAATATTTCCTATTTCAAGTTGAACAAACCACAGAGACTACAGCTCCAGCTGACCGCAGATATTCACATACATTGAGGAAAGAGGAAATTACTAGTCAGTAGTCTGAATTCAACTCTAATATTAGATTACAGAGAGTTGAACAAAACAAACTAGCTAACCATTTCACTGTTACTATGTTTGTCATTAATCTCTGAACAAATTGAGAATATGTCATGAATGTGATAAAATAATTGCAACTGGCTCTGTAAAGTTTTGTCTCACCTTGGTGTTTTGCTTGTCAAAGAAGAGTAGAACACACCGAGGTGAAAAATATGGAGAAACTGTAGGTCACTGCAATAGGGGAGATAACTGATTTGGTGTGGTAGGTCCCCCTCACCGACTTCCCTCTACAGCAATTCAGCATCAACAGCCCCTGTGTTGAACTCACTAGAGCCACCTGTGTGGTCACACATGGCTCAATGGCACCTGACTGCCAGCTGCTGGATTAGAGGATTTTCAAAATTATATTGTCCTTAAATCACCAAGAGCCTAAAGTAGGTGGGAAAATCTGGTTGTTGGCAGTGAAACAAAGCGGACATGCTCATGAGCAAGGCATTGTGTTTCTCTTCCCCTGCAGCTTCAGTAGCTGCTAAAAAATAAATTTCCTGATCTACTTTCCAAGTAGATCCCAGTAGATTTCCAAGCACTAATGACTGTCTGAAATAAAAAATACTTGTGCATAAGGATTGCAATGTTTTACAGGTTTCTTTATAGGTATCTTTATTACCTAAAATGTAAAAGAAATCCCAAACACAACAAATTTGTTAGTATTTTGTAGAGGATCATTGTGCTCATATAGTTAAAGTTGAGGTTATGGATAGGTTGGTAAATAGACAACAGATAAACAAATCATACAAGTGCTAACAAATCCTCTGTGCAGAAGTATGGTGGTACTTGTTGTATGCCATAAAACATTCTCAATCTGGTCTAACAGTGCTAAACAGGTGGGGCAGATCTTGTGGGTGTCTTGTTAGGATGGCATTATCATTCGTGTACAAATGCATGCAAATTCAATTAACTAAATCTGAAATACAGATTTGGGAAAAGCCACCTGGCTAGGTTTTCAAAATTTACATTTGGCAGTTGTTTTGGCACTCAGGAAAAATGTAAAAAAAATCAAAAAACATGATGTGAAACACTAATGTTGCAACAGTCGGGCAACACCATACCAGAAAATGAGGGCTTGTGAATCTAGGAAGGCAACAAAGAGGAGGTCAAAGGGTATCAATCCCCAGGGGATGCAGTTACCCATAGTTACCAATTCTTACCCTCAGCTCTAGGGAATTGGCCAGGGCGGGGCTGGGTCTCTAAAGGAGGATGCTGGGATATAATGTGGACGAAAAAGGGAGGGTGGAGTCAGGGAGGTGCATGCTGTGTAGCAGCTGGTGGGGGAAGGGAGGAGCAAGGAGCAAAGCGAGGAAGGAAAGGAGGGAGGATGGGGCCGTTGTTACAGCAGGTCCCAGTGCTATTGTATACCACAACCCAGCTCAGGACCTCAGGTAAGAGATAGACTCATAGATACATGATTTGCATCATGTGAAGAAGGTCATTTTAAAGTGATTGGCAAACATTGGGAGGGAAAACCTTTTATGAGCTGTTTTAAATGATGAGTAAATTGCTTCATCAGATGTACATGTTGCTGTATTTCATCAGGTGTACTGAATATGGGTGTCCATGTGTCTGTGTGTGCATTTACAAATACTGTGATCAGTAACCTCCATGCTAGTTGTGTTGTTTAGAACCAGTCAGCCCAGTACATGGACTTTGACTGTACATGTAATCTTAGTCCCCTGACTTGGCTACCTGAGGAACAACCAACTGTGTGCGCGTGTGTGTGTGTGTGTGTGTGTGTGTGTGTGTGTGTGTGTGTGTGTGTGTGGGTGGGTGTGTGCTCCGTTCTGTATTTGTGTGTTTGTGCCAGGTTGTGCAGAGGTAATTAACCAGTGTAATGGCTGGTGATGGAAAATGTAATTATGGTGAAGTGAAATGGGGGAAAGCAGCAACAAGGTCCTTCTTAAGGCAGTTGTTCGTGGCAACTGGATGGCACAACGGAGTGGGGATTGGGACAAAATGGATGACAAGGCACTGAAGGTGCACTTGACTTAAAGAAATACACAGAACATTTGCTCTTTTTTAGTTGGTTGTTAAAATGCAGTATGACTAATACAGATGTGCTCTTATGGGTCTAATCCTGTAATCTGTTTGTTTGTCTCTGTTGATGCTGGTTTGCATGTGTTTTTTATGTCATTCGTGATTTATAGGATACCTTTATCTTGTTTGGGTAACTTTCTGTACCGGGGAAAGTAGGCATAATACAGATATAAAATCTGTTTGATCTCACTTGTCACAGTTGGGCTGCTCTTGCTTCCTGAATGTAAATATAACCAATGCAAGAATATCTTCTTGTTCCTTTGACTGGGTCATGTATTTGTAAAACTGGCCGTTTGGTGTGGTCCATACCATATATTGAACCTTTTTGGGAGAAAGTAGTACATTTGAAGTTAAGAGTACTGGATTGTAGTATTGATGTGTTGTTTTTCTCACATTATTTTGGAGAAAGGTTTGCCAAGCAACATCTACCCTCTGAAGATCTAAATGGCTGTAAGCAAAAGAAAAGTCCTACTATTTACATTTTTAATAGACAATGTAAACTGTCTACACTCCATGGAAAAGACAACTTACACCCTTTAACTACAGAAAGACAAGAGTGGAAATACTAGATAAAATAGGATTCTTACTTTCAGGAAACAGACATTGACTGATTGATTTTACATTTTCTTTATTTCTCCTTTTTTTTACACAACTAAGGGGAAACTGCACCTTTAAAATCCCTGTGTAATTAACTGTACCTGCTTTGGTGTCTGTGTTAATTGATGATCCCATCCTGGTCCTCGTGTGCATTATTAATAAATATATATAGGTTAAGGTTTTGGAAAAGGCTGGCCTTGATTTCAACAGTTTGATTACTGATGATTTAGAGCTGAAGATGGTAAAACCAGGGACTTATTTCCTTGAGTTTCATCACATACACCAGGTTACTTGTTAACCACAGTATAAGAAACATTTTTCTGTCTTCTCACCTGCACTACCTAACCGGGTCTTGCAAAGAGTAGTCTTCCTAGTTTCGCAGATTGACCATTCTCACTTAGCAGGCTACAAAAGAATCAGTAAGAGTCTTAATTGACTGATCATCTGAAAGCCCAGTGGTATGAGTGCACATGTGCAGCACCTACAGTATGTGGAGAAGACCTTGATTTAAGTATTGACTCTTTGTGTGGCAGTGTCTCCTTAGTTTTTTGTGAAGTTGATATGCCTACTCTTTGTGTCCATCGTAAAGTTGAATCCGTACAATATATTTAGCACGCTGTTGTATATCTGAATTCAAAGTTGTGCTAAGTAGGCTCAAAAGTGTTTGTGAAGAATACCAGAGACAAGAACAAGAATAGATTGGTTTGTCAGGCACTAAAAATATGTTGCAGCTGTATGCAAAGTGTAGAAAAAGAGAGAGGGAGATAAATGAAGCACTATGTTTGGAAGGGTGTACTGCATACAGTATGTGTGTTGGATAAAGGGAATCTACTTTTGGCATTTTGATGAAGGGTGGTATCAATTTGCTTGGCGTGCCGAAACACACAAACACAAGACACAAACACACGAGTTGTCTTAAAAGCGTCAAAGCTTACTGTCTTTAGCCCCAAACATTTTTATTTCATTAAATTTTATTATAGTTTGTTTCTTTCTTGTGAATGGATGAGTGGATTAACAGTTGTATTTGATGTTGCTCCTGTGTCTTTATCTGTTTCCCAGGATCAAACCAATAACAATGCATGGCCTGTAAGCCGCCAATCATGGCTCATAGGAAGAGGCCAGGGACCAGTGGAGGAAACAGTATGGCCGCTCCAGGCCCTGTCTCCTGTCCCACCCCTCATCCTACAGAGCCATGTGATCTGAAAACACTCCCCCCTCGGCAACGCCCAGTCCGCTACCCCAAAGAGTCACATGATCCGAAACCCCTCCCCCGTTCCTGTAAGGCACAATATTCTTCTCCCAAGTCTCAAGACATTGGTCGCAATCATTCGGACGTAGATGTAGACACAGAAGTTGAAGTGAAGCGGTACAGCAACCAAGCAGATGCAGAACTGGAGGATCAGCGGCCAGCGACACCCTCCACGCCAGAACATGAACATGACCAAGATGACCATGAACAGGCGGACTTCCACGGTGGAGGTGACAGCCTGGATGATGACTCCAGCTCTGACTATATCAACAACACCTCAGATGATGAGGAAGATTATGATGACGGTAAGTGTGACGTCAAGATATATTGTTATTGTAAGCATTGCCCTTTCATTGTGATTATTTTCCATTATCAGTTCTGCGTATTGTTGAGATTCCCAACGAGCTTTGTTGTGAAGAAAGTTGAGGGGGACAAAAAGAGTACCCTTATGTTTGCAGCACTGATTTTGTTCTATTTCTTTATCACTGTTCACCAACAACTGAACTGAAAGTGAATGTAAAAGCATATGCAGGAAAGCAGAGGAAATAAATAAAAACTGAAATGTAACATTCAAACAGAGACTGCACCATTGCTGAAAGTAGATGAAGAGGCTATTCTGGTATTCATACATGATAAGCTCGGTAGCCTGTGGTGCTTTAAGCTTAATGCTAACATCAGCATGCTAACATGCTCACAGTGATAATGCTGATCTGCTGGTGTTCAGCTAATTAGTACAAAACACTAAATACAACTGAGGCTGATGGGAGAGTGGTGGCCTAATCATGATCATCAAAGATATTATAATTCATCCTGAGGGGGTCTGTCTGTATTTCACGGCAATATATAAATGTATAATTTCATGGCAATGCATCCAATAGTTATTGAGACATTTCGATTAAAGAAAACAAACGTCAGCCTCGTGGTGGGACTAGAGGGAAATTGAGGGAATCACTTCATTCATGAGGATTTGTCCTTCCGAGGACCACACATCTGTCATTCAAGAGTTGTTGAGGCATTTCAGTCTGGATCAAAGCAGTGGACTGGCCAGCACTGACATCCCAAGGCCCATGCTGCTAGCATGGCTGAAAAAAAAACCCACCAGTACTGCCATCCTTGCAAGAAATCAAGTAGTTCTTTTCTTTTGGAGCATATCTGAATTCCCTCATGACAGACTTGGAAACCAGTCTTGGAAGCCATGCCTTCCAATGTTATGTAGTTGTTTGAGATGAATAATATATAACATGGTGCTTCAGAGACAATTGGAGATTCTTAATAAACAAGCCCTAGATTAAGAAACATGTCTCTTTGTGATCATAAACCCTCCAGGACTGGCAGAGGAAGACGAGGGTGTGACTTACTATATCCGCTACTGCCCAGAGGACGACAGCTACCTGGAAGGTATGGATTGCAGCAGCCAGGGAGAATGCAACCACAGCCACAGCCACAGCCAGGGTGACTGTGCAGGCACCATGCAACCAGTTGGACCCCACACTGATGAATGCCAGGAGGCTGTGGAAGGATGGGTTGAGGAAGGAGAGGCTGAAGGGGAGGTGAGAGAAGAGGAATGGGTGGAAGATGAGGAGGGAGAGGGAGCAGTGAGGGAAGAGTGGAGAGAAGAGGAGGAAGAAGTGAGGGAAGAGTGGAGAGAGGGAGATGAGGATGCGAGGGAGGAGTGGAGAGAGGAGGGCCAGGTCATGCAGGAGCAGTGGGTGGGACGAGAGAGGCACAGGGTGGAGGAGTGGGCTGAGGGAGAGGGAGAGGTTCGCTGTGAGGTGGTGGAGCAAGATCCAGATGAGCAGATATACAATGGAAGACCAGAACCCATCCTAGACCATCACCATCACCATCATCACCACCTCCAACCCTCCCTGCAAGACACCCTGCGCACCCAAGACGATGAGGAGGAGGCAGAGAGCGAAGAGTACTGCCCTAATGAGGAAGAAGACGAGGAAGGTGAAGAGGAGGAGAGACATGGAAGGGCCTACACTGGAGACTACTATGCCCCCGAGGACAATGGGAACTCAGTGCGAGTCTCTCCGTACCGTGGCCGTAAAGTGCTGGTGGTAGAGGGGGAGACAGGAGAGGAGGCGGAGGAGGACATTGACCAAATCGTTGCTGAGATAAAGATGAGTATGAGCATGGGGAGTCTAAGCAGTGGTACTGACCAAAGCCCAGAAGAGTTGGCGCAGGACCCTGCACCAAGTGACTACCCTCATGCCAAGTCTGACGCAGCCCCCTACCCACCAGCTCATCACCGCCATGACAGCAGGCCCAAGTCCCTGAATCTCCCCTCCATGCACCACAACAACCCTGACATCCAGAGGGCCATCAAGGCACATCCACGTTCCCCTGAAGACAGGCAGAGATGGGCACAGGAGCAGGTGAGCATTGCTGTTGTTTCACATTGTCCACATTCACTTAAGCCAGAATTATACTTGCGTGTCACGATGTACGTCGAGCCTGCCATGGGCTTCTCCTGCTGGGAATTCATTTATGGTTCAGCATCTGATATCACCTGTTAGTAGCACAAGAGCATAACTGAATGGATGTGTCATGCATTATCATGCTTCATTCTGTATAGGCCCCAAAGGGACTGTGTTTACATTCTTTCATTCATATAAGGTAAGGTTAGCGACAGTGGCAACATTTGTCATGTCTAGCCAACTACTGAAATCAAAACTGTAATCATGTTAACATCGGCGTTAGAGGAATGATGATGATGATCAGGGTGTTGACAAAAAAGGAGAAGATTGATGAAACCTTTTTAAGCTTCTCTTGTTATGGTCTTCACAGGCATCAGACACTTGCAGGAAAGAACACAAGTCTCAATTTCCATATGGTATTTTTGTAGCCACCATAGCACTGTCATGTATTTACAAATTTTGCATCACAATGCATTAAGGTCTATATTAGCTGTGGTGTGCAAAGAATCCATTGCTACGCTATAACCCCTTAGCGTTAGTCTAATTCATGTTTAACCCTGTTGGTTTGGTCTACAGAGAACATGAAACTAACACAATAAAGATTTTTAGTAAACAAAAAAAAAAAGTATTTAAGGGAAAACAAATATAATAGTTGATGTGTTTAATTCAGTCAATAATAAAGGTAATTGTTCTCTATTCCAATGCCTATGCAGTTTAATTCTAATGAAAAACATATTTGTGTTTACTTGAATTTAAGTCTTGTTATATTTCCCACTGTAGGCTTCTGTGTCACAGAAGTCAAGCTACAGACAAAGGCTCCAAGACGAATTGGAAGAATATAAGAACTTAACAGTCACACAACAGTGCTAATATGGAGAAGTGCTTATATGGTCTATGGAGAAGATGTACTGTATATTCAGGCTATTTTAATGCTCTGTAGCAGAGACCTTTTGCCACCGGGAATGATTAAAAGGGCTTTGTGCTGAGGAGCTGGAGATGAGTTACAGGTGGCATGTTACTCATTGCCATCCAGAGCATAGCTGGAGCCTCACCCCTCCTCCATGTTACCTTGAGATGTCCCCCTCCTCATCTCTCTCCCTCTCACAGACCTGGATGAATGCACACACACTCTACAGTCACATTGATAGACTCAAACACATGCTGAGCTCCCCCATCTTCTAAAAGTCAGATGGTAAAAGGAGAACAGGGATAGTCTCCTGTGGGCATCCTGCTGATACACACCTGCTCCACAGTGTGCACATGTGCTCGCACATTCACTGTGTGCACCTCATTTGTAGCACAGAACTGGGTCAGACAGTGTAACTAGATTAAAGTGGAAGAATGTACAGTACACTGCAGATTCAGATGACTCCCACCCTCACTAAGATGATTCTGTCGTTTTGTCCTCTGTTATCAAATGAAATGTTCTCTGTACACCTCTTCAACATGACCCTTGAATGAACCAGGACAACAATGAATTTGAAAAAACAGATTTGCTGCACAGTGTGGAGCCAAAAGATTATGATTAAAAAAAAGAGTTATAAAACAGAGGAAGGTCATGTACGCACACGGTCTGTTGGTGGGATGCATTTGAGGAAAACAAAGTATTACGTGGTATTGTAATCTCATTTTAAATCATGCTACATCAGTATGTCACTGTCAAATTATTTGTTACATATTCGTATGATCACCAGTCAGACAATGGTCAAGTGCTAAAAACAACTAGTTTGATATTAACAATGTATGCAGTTCTTGTATAATTACCCTGGTCTATAGCTTTTCTGAAACATGTTCACTTTTATCCATTAGTGTATTAAATATTGTGCTATATGTATGTAGGATTAGAGTAGCATATGTTATAAATTCCTTCCATGAACCACCAAAAATGTTTTGCATAAAACACTCAACATATACAGTATATCCATCAGATGGACACACATTGTCTCCAAAGGAATATAGTATTCATATCTTTAATTTTAAAGATTAAATAATTATTATTTATTGCCAGGTGCAGTAAATTTGAGGGAATATTACTTCTTGAGCTTGTAGCTTGTATGTCAGACAACCAACTCCTTTGGTGGATGGATAAGGTGGCTTCAGTGCTACCTTTAGCTGAAGTGGTATGAGGAGAACTAGTGTAAGACATATCATTTTAGTCTTAAGGTTGATTTGATAAGTAGTTTCATGAGTACAATGGCACACACTCAATTACAAAATATCCTGCTAAATTTGCCCTGTTGTGTACACATGTACACATCGGCAGAGGCAGCCAGTCATCTCAGTAGTGGTCTTGTGAATGTTAATTATGTTAATGGATTAAAATTGATGTGGTGCTGATTTATTGATGATAAAGTTCTACATGTAGCTTATTAAACATTTGTTGTTACAGATGAAGGCATGTACAAAGTTTGACTGGATTCACGTGGGACAGTTTAGCATTCCATCCCACCAAACAACAACACGAATCTCATTAATGTAATGGCTGTTTGCACAACTGAGTTGGGCTGCATGATGAATACTGATCAGGACTTCATGTTTTTGCTCTCTTTTTGCAAAGGAGGCCACTAATGTTATGTTTGTGGTAATTAATTTCAATTTCAGATGCACAACAACGTGGCTTGTTCTTCTGAATTTCACTTTCTCACTGCCACTCCAAGGAGGAGGAGGTTTTATTGGCAGTAGGATTTCATTTCAGCCAGTAATACCATTGTTAATGAGCAGTTGTGAACTGCAAAATGGATATCCAAGGGAACAAATGTAATCCTCCCTCTTTGCTGGATGTACTGTACTGTGTACGTCCACATATGTGATGAGAGATGAGACAAAAGAAAGAGCTATCTAGAGGACAAGTGTAAGACAAAACTTATCAATGTGTCATTTGTAGGTAAAACTTCAAAAAGAAATATTTGTTATGGTTAGTCCACAGGGTTTTGACAGTGTAGGACTCTCACACATGTTGTTTCTACCAGTCGTACCTACAAATTCAAAACCATGACCATATGACCTCCATGACCTTTCTTCAGACCTGAACCAAATGTTGTCCATGTGTTATTGTGTTTTATCTTATCCTAATTCTCATCCACTCACACCTGTTCTTCTGTGTTGACCTGCCAGGTGAGCAATGGTGCAGAGCAACCCAGAAAACAGCAGCGCTCCGACCTCAACGTTCCCCTGGAGAACAACAATGTACCAGAGGTAAGACGTTGGTGGATATTCTGTCGCAGTGTTTCCTTCATCATGTTTTTGATCTATCGTGAGATCGTGAGAGGTGTTGTTGTTTATGTGTGTGAGTCTGTGTGCGTGCATGTGTGTGTGTGACTGTCTGAGTAAATGAGTAATTGTGTAATTACAATCGCAGCTCGTGTCCTCTGCTTACGGCGTGATAGCGTCCTGGTAATTGAGCAGCGTGTCTGCTTGCGGTTTTATGAGAGCCATTTTTCACTGAGATGTCTGGGGTGGATGCTTCCTGTACAGGCTCCACCCTTTGTCCTTGTGTGGAGTAAACTTCCTGAATGTTAGAGGATCCAATAGATCCGGTGGAATGAGTGTTTGACTCTCATGAATTGCTGCACAATACACAGCTCTATTTGTGGCCTACTCTTTTTCTGCAGCTTCCTCCTCCCTCCTTTACATCTTCTCTCTCCCACCTCCCACAGTTATGTCAGTGTGTGAAGTGGATGAGTAACGCTTTGCACTCTCTCTATGCCCACTTCTGCAGTGCCCTTGAGCAAAGTGCATGTACGCAGTTTCTGCAGCAGTAGAAGTACCAAGGTGTAAATACATGTAACTGTGTGAATGTTGGGCGGGGCATTGATGGAAAATAATAGAAATGTTTGGATATTAATAATGCCTGTTCCAAGTAAAAGCACCAAAGGGAATTCCTCTGCAGGGATCGAGAGTTTAGCTGGCTTTGTGTCTATATAGTACGTGACTAAATTTTGTAAATGTATTTTGCATCATCAATCTTTTAAACCAGGTGAGGGGAGTTGTTTTGCTTCTCTTCAAGTGGAAGCACATTTAACCTGCTGCTGAAAGCAATATTGACGCCAATGATAAAGAGTTAAAGCTATGAAAACAACAGTTATTGTAGTAGCATTGTGACTTCTTAAACAACTCATTTTAAATTTGAAGCATCACACATACTATTTGCACAGGACTTGTTGTCAGCCAAAATAGCAGAAGGGCATCATGTGTTGTGCAATGAGGGTCAACTTGCATGTTTGTGGAAGGTCACAGACAAACCACAATCACTGTTTTGCAATCACAGAAGCAAATAAATAAAATGTAACCTGCCTTTTCTCAGGCCGTCTCACTGAAAGGACAGAAATGGTTTTACAGGATGGGATGTCCCTTTGCCTTGCAGGTTCTCTCCTCATCTGTGTTTTCTTATACTAAATCAGCAGGCTTCCCCATGCATCATGTCATAAATTTGGACAGATAGATCAGTCAAAGCCTGATCTAAACCAGCTCTTTAAAATGAAAATAATGATCTGACATATGCTGTTTGATTACAGTATTGTACATTAAGAAAAGCAGCAGTTCCTTGCCTAACAACATTTCGAAAATGTAAAGGTTTTGATCGGTTGCTTTGAGACTGCAGATACATGTTTAATTCACTGTAAACGTATTCACAACAATTTATCTGTCATATCCTGTTTTTGTCTTCTAGCCAACAAAGAAGGTTGCATCGTTCCCAAGCTTTGTCGATGGTAAGTTAATCTGTCCGCACACCTGTTTGGTGATGAAATCAAAATATTGTAATTGCATGGAACGATTCCAAATATTGCTTTGCCTTCAGTCTGTCACACCACAGGCCTGACATAACTCTTCCAGTGCTCTCTTCCTGCCTCTGGGCAGATGCTAGGCCTAATAATGTGTGAGGGGCTTAGTTGTCTGTCTGCTCCTTCAGATCATGACAGCACATTGTGTCCCTGAGTGGGTGTCTGAGAGTCCACATCTACATATCACAGACACAAATTAATCTCAGACCAGCCTCCCACCAGCTCTGCACCTCCATTAGCTCGCAACCAGTGGCCGTCTCACTGCTCAGTCCCACCCAGCCTGTTATCGCCATCTCAGAGCAACAGTGTTTGGCTCCATTTTTCCACACAGCACGTTGACTGCAGTGATTACAATACCCTCCCCACCGCACACCCGACCCTCTCAGTCTAACCATGCTCTGTCCCTCCCCATGTCTCCCCGCTAATCACCATCTTCTCTGCCTCTCCCTGGCTCAGTCCCAGGACCCTGCGAGCCAGAAGACCTGATTGATGGAATTATCTTTGCTGCTAACTACCTGGGCTCCACTCAGCTGCTCTCTGAGAGGAACCCTTCCAAGAACATACGCATGATGCAGGCCCAGGAGGCTGTCAGCAGGGTCAAGGTACTCAAAAACACACCTACTCCCTTCCAGCCACACTGACTCAAACTTGCAAACACAAAAATTGTCCTGAAGGTATCCAGTGGTCAGAATCATGCAAAGAAACATTCCTCTCCTTAGTTGACGGCTCACATTTTTTCATTTATGCTGTTGCTTTCCCCTGGATGAGCTTTACATCTCTAAGGAGACTCTTTTGTCCCTTTTTGACCAAAAAGTCACTGGAACTAATCTCAGGGACTAAGAGGGCATTTCCACGGTACAGTCCTTCCCAGGAGATCAATGGAGTCTTCAGGACTCAATGTTGACTGGTCAAACACAGATACCGACAGCTGCTTCCACTATTGTACAGCTTTACTCATAAAATAAAGGAGTGATGGGCGGCACTCGTGTTTATACTGGGATGAGGGATGGAAATTTCTTGTTGTTTGTCAACATTAAAAACAAAGTTATGTTTATAGCTTTCTGAATAGTTAAAAAAAAAACAGTCACATGGATAGAGTGAACAAATGGAGCACGCAGCAATCAAACAAGAGAGAGAGCCGGGATTGAGAGAGCTAGCGAGTGAATGTGAGAGGAAGCAGCGAGAGAACAAAGAGTCTGAACAACAAAAACAAAACTTTGTTCTACAGCAGAGAAAACATCCAGCCCCAAAACAGCCAGCAGATCATCCATGTGGAGACCGTCTTGTGGAGTTTCCAGCCTCCTTTTTATTAATTTATTACATCAAACTCAAACAACAAAACACAACAGGATGAAGCTCCGCTGCAGTTTTCTAATTTGTTATTGGTCTAATTTGCCTAATCTTTTACGGTTCTTCTGAACTAAAACTATTTGGTACTACTAGTCCCCTTGTGCAGTCCTGATTAAATCTGAAGAGCTGTGAATATTAGGAAAATTATTCGGATAATGGACGAAAAAAACAATGGTTTTGTTTTAGACTACTAATAACAGAGTCATCCCGTTGTGGTTTCCAGTTCACATTTGCATGTCTCATATTTGAACAGACTTTGCAAGTTGGGAAGTCAACCAGACTTGGATATTAATATCAATAAAAACTGACATTAAAACATCTCTCGTACTGATATTGACATAAGTGCTAAGTAAAGCTCTCTTACTGTACAAGTTGTAGCAGCCTAGAGGTTTGTGTTTGATCAATCAATGACACAGTGACACAGTCTTGCCTGGTAGTTCCTGAGTCATTGCAAAGTACTAGCACCAGAGTTTGGACTTTTTGGGTACCAGGAACTAAATTTAGATTGTAGTTCCTGAGTACTTAGAAAGGTCCCTGAAAAAAAAGTGCCTGAAATGGAAAACAGCTATTGGAGAGCCTATTCCCCTCTAACCTATTTCAGGCCCCTAGAGGTGTTGTTAAGATGTGTTTGTTCACACCCCAAGAGACAGCCTCCGATCAGTGCTTTTGGTTTGCTGTCCCGCTCTCAAAGAGCATTTTAATATGATGGCAGTTCTCTCTCCTCTCCCCAGAGGTGCCAGCGCAATGTTACAGCCGCCTTGTTGTTGCGTAGGATGCATTGGTAACGCTCTGTCAAAATATAGAGAAGACCTGCAGGAAATATGTTGAGCAGTTTTACATGGCTAATACTGCATCTTCGATCCTGTTTGTTATAGAGTGTCTGAATACATCTCTCACATTACTGTATCTGGAAGGGAATATTTATTCATTCCCACAAATTCAAGCACACAAGTGAAACCCTGCTATTTCAGCATGTTGTTTGAATGTTTTGGGATTTTTGCTTAATAGTTATGAGATATTTTTAGTCAAGGTCCAGATTGGTCCGAATAAAATGTACATGGACATCAGAGCTGTTATGTCAAAGCATCATAGTCATATACCAGGCATGAGTGGCCTTCTAGGGCAGCTAAAGAACTTGGCCAGATTGGGCCACAGGGCGTGTGTTTGGCACAGCCGGCAGGATAATGGGTCTGCTGGCATGTAAACCTTATATTTCCCTTGTTGACACTCAGTCCCTGCTGTTCTCTAATGTTGTGATGATGTTGTTTCAGTGCAGTTTCAGAAAACTACTGTGGATGGTATCAGTGCTGCTTAAATGAGATCATGTTATTTTCGATGAGCTTGTTTGCTTTGTTCATCACTTGTTACTGCTTGTGTCCATCTTCACAGAAACTCAAAATTTCCATCTTTCAGGAAAGAGAGTTTCAACTTTTTGGCTTTCTTCAAAAAGTTGGCATTTTCTACTCATGGACTCAGAGGCCAGGTGTGATCAAAGAACATTGTTTCATGACGTGATGACTTAATGCAGTGCTGATGTTTTGGTGCACAGTTACTACCCAGACTCCAGTCTCTTTTATCCTCCTCTCATGTGAAAACAAGCTTGGCTGTATTTCTAAATATTGAATGACCTCCTGTGTAGTGGTCTACTTTTAGAAGCTTACGAGTTGTAATGAGACTTGTCACTGATGAGATGGATACATGTGAGTATAGCTGTCCAGTGGGATACGTCAGGAATTAAATCAGTAGAGAAAGAGAGACAGAGACAGTGAAGTTTGAGATACTAGGTCAGCTTTCATGATCAAGATCCAGGTGCATGGTATCAGCAAACATCAGAGAGGCATTAAAAAATAAATAGCAGCCAAATTCAATGAACTCTACTCTGTGTCCAGTGAAGAGATCCATTTTTGCCTCTAAAATTGGTCGCATTGTTTTTTATTTTAGCCACATTTTGCAGGTTCCTTATGGTTGTGTAACCTTAAGTAAAAAAAGCATGTGGTTTGATCCTTTAATTAAGGGACAGACTGAGATGATTAAGTCCCTGTCCTCATACCTCACTAGTCCTAGTACTACTTAAGCTTCAGCATAGTGTCATTTGTCCCACGTCTTCTTAGGATCGAGGGTTAGTGGTCCACACGCAGGCTCAAAGAAAGAGTCTTAGTGTTCATCAAATTGTGGGTGAGGAGGGCTAGAAATGGCTACTGATGCCTGCAAGTATTTCTATCAACAATCCAATTGATGGGCAATCTGAAACAAAGAAAAAGGGTGACAGGAAAAGTGGCAGACCAGGATCTTCAAGTCTTCTGGCCTGCTGGCTGCTTTCAGTCTAAAAGCCATTTTCACCACAATGAGGATGTCTACTGGCATCATTTCACATCTGTCAAATCTGTGTTTTATTCTTACTCACTCGCTCGCTCGCTCACTCTCTGTCATGCACAGTTGCCTTCCCTACAAAAACTCTTGTCAGGATGAAACCATGGCAACGGTTAGCCATCACCTTTTAATGCTTTCCCCTGCTTGGAACAAGTCCATTGAACATGAAGTCGTCCATTATCTCCTTGATTTGTCCCTCGTGAACAAATTAATGGCTGTACAGCAAACAACATTTAATGGTTGACATTGAAATGGACACAGTTGACAGCACACGAACCCCCCCACCCACACATACAGTGTAGATCAGTCATACTGCTCCAGCATCCAGACAAGTAGTACAAGCACAGGAAGGCACTTAGACCCTGTAGTGCTGAACTGAGCAAAAAGAAATATACCAGGTAAATTGTAGCAAGGCAGTATAGGTTATTTATGCAGATCTTTTTGCCATGATGCTCTCTCTGTTTGATGTAATATTTATGCAGCTACCCCCCCACCCCCCACCCCCACCCCACCCCACCCCCAGTCACTCTTCCCTGCTGTCTACTACCCCCCTGCTCAGCTCCTCCTCAGCAGAGCAGTAGAAGCCGCTGAAAGCCTCTGATGTGTGTCTTGCGTGCGAGCTGATCACGGAGGAGGAAACTTTACAAAATGAAAACCCGAAAAAGACTCTTCCCTTTGGGCTGTTTACTCTACTTGCTTTTTTTCACTAATGGCAGTCTTAGCAGTTAGAGCTCCGCACAGTGGCTCAGCCAAACATCCAGTCTCACACTCGGAAATGTAATGAGGGTCAAGATAATTTCCTCTGGTCGGTGGCAGATGGAGAGAGGGGGCGGTAGCTCAGCTTGAACCTTACACAGAAGGGTTGATTTTGAAAGATTACAAAGTGCTAAGAGTACTTCAAAAGATTACTTATCTAAGGCCAACAACTGTATGGCCACCTCCAATAAACTGAACTAATCAGACACATTAACTGTGGAAAAGTGCCTCCATCTTTATCTAAGCTGTTTCAGTGACTCGACCTTGTATTTTTTATGTATTTGTTTAATTATTTATTTTTGATGCAGCCCAAACAACAAACCCCAAGCGCACAGTTTAAATCCTTGCTCAGGGCTTTATCCCCTCCTCTGCCTCTCTGTGTGTTGTTGATTGTTTTATCTCCTGGTAATAGTGTTTAGACTGTGACATGAGCATGGAAGGTGGTAGAAGCAGAGCCCATACACACAACCTGAATTATCGTCTTTGTTGACTTTGTAAGCTGTAATTCTTTTAGAATAGAATGGGCTTCTTACTATCTTTCTTTCGTTTGGTAAATAAACAAATTAACTGAAACTTGATATATTAAACTGATTAATAGAAATAAACAACATCCAAAAAAAACCTCTAGACCCTCCTAATTGAACTTTATATAGATGTCAAGAATGCAGGAACCGTGTCAATTCATGTCTGCACGCTTTTGATTTGCTGTGTTTAAAAGAGAAAAAGCAATTATTACCCTCTGTAATTGCTGTTTTGATTTGTATCTGATAACCAACATGGCTGTGCAGACGCTATCTCCACAAACACACACACAAGCACATTCAAATACACACACCACCTCTCTCTCTCTCTCTTTCCCTCTGTCTCTGTCACTCTCTCTCTCTCTCTCTCTCTCTCTCTCTCTCTGTCTCTGAGAGCAGCGATAGCACACCTGCCGTTTGGTTTGAGGCTCTACTGTCTTACCTTCTTTTATTTACCTTCTTTATTTCCTCCTCCTCTTCCTCCTGTTTTTTGTGCTCCCGTATCCGCTGACCTTGTCCCGTCCCAACGCCTGCCTGCCTGCCTGCCTGCCAGAGGGTACAGAAGGCTGCCAAAATCAAGAAAAAGGCGGTGTGTAATAAACAGAGCAAAAGAAAGACCCTTAAGCCACTTTCCCTTCACTCTCACCTTTCCTTTTTCATTTCATTTGTGCCTGCCCGTGTGTGCGTATCCTCTCATATCTGTGTCTCGCACATTTCTGAGTGCATTCATTAAGTTGAACAAATCTTTGTTTTTTTTTCAAACCTTAAGCAAACATGTTTTTCTTTATGTGAACAGCTATGCATTTTGGCAGCAACAGTCTTTCAGAAGCCTAAAGGTGGTAGAAAGTTTGGTCTAAACTATGGTCACACTGGTCACACAAGTCTGTATATTTTCAGTAATGTCTGAATATCAGCAAAATTGGAATGGCAGATTTTAACCAGGCACACCAAAAATCTTTTCGTAAAAGGGCTTTTTATACTGATTGAAGTTGTGTAGTAAGGCACAAGACTGAAGAACCACTGAAACCAAATTTAATAACACACACTGACGCGATTTTATATGCAGCCACTGTGACCACAAGGCAGCAGAAGTCATATCAGCTGGACATTACGGGAGAAGCTCCAGCCTATATTACTTCTTGGGTTTCTCTTAATACAGTGCCATTATTACTGTGTATGAGAGAGTTGTATGTACAAAACAACACTGTGTAACTGTGTCATGAGAGTATAAATGTATGTTGAAGGGTGTAATGACACACTGTAAGGACAAAAGATTAACCACTTACCCAGGCTCTGTTATATTAGTTGTGTCTGATGTATGTGATATAAGTGCGATAATAACATTTTTAAGTTAATTTAAGCTTCTTTTTTTAGGATGAAGAAGGGAAGCTTTGAGGGATTTGGTTGTTTTGTGATTGAGGTTTCTTTAGTCAGTAAAAATGTTTACTAGCCAGTTGCCACAGTTCCCTGACATTATGAATATATCAAGAACAGAAATTACAATACTTTGTCTAGTTTTTGCTGACAAAAAAGCACAGCATACTGAATATATTGACCTTTTACCTCAGGGCTAAAGACATACTGTACGACTTCATCTTACCTAAGAGAACATCACTTAACCCAATACAGAGCTCATGTCATCAGCTGCAGCTTGTGTTTGCAAAAACTAATTTCAACTACTTCTTCTTTGTACTTACATCACCGTAACCCTCATGTGAGTTAAATTATGTGTTTTGGAGATTGTAATTCAGTGCATGTCTAATTTTGTGTGATTAACATAGTTTACACCAACTTAAGCAGAAAACGACTCTCACTCTAATTCTCATTCATATCTTGCCTCTTTTCACTCTAGTGATCCTGAAATACTGCGGAGAGAGGGATCATCTGTAAACAACCTCTGCTCTGGCTGAATGCATTTTATGTTATAAATAAATAAAGAAGAAGAAAAATCATATAACTTTTTAACACTGTGGAGAAATGGTTATTTGTCAGGTGCCCTAAATTTGTGGTCTCAATTTATTGTTCCATTGTATATTTCTGTTATATCTTTGTATAACTTGACATCACAGTTTAGCTTTAATCAAACATGTCGCATCAGTTTTCAGAACCACAAAACTGCTTCTTTTTAGACTTATCATTGGCTGGACTTCCGCCTGTATCAATCATACAGGCGGAAGTCCATCAGAAGAAGCTGATTTTCTTTTCTCCTGTAATGATAACCTCATGCATCAAATCCACAAGACAAGTTGGATTTTCAGAAGGAAGTATGGCTGCAATCGGGTCCAGCTAAAAGGTGGATTACAACCTAATCACATCTTTTTCTAATCTTTCCTTAGTTTCTGTGCATTTTCAGACACTTGGTAGGGATAAAAAATTACTCATGAATTTTATAAGCCACAGTCTCAAATAAATGATTCATTATTTATTACATGAAATATTTATTTACAGCTATATCTGTTTTGTTAATGTTTTTCACACTATTGCCTTATTTTAAATGCTTCAGGCAATTTTTATTAAAGGAATTAAAATATAATTGTATTAGTCTGCAGCACAAAGTGATCAGAGGGAGAGCTACATTGCTCTCACTCGTGTACCAGCCGGCTGGTAAGGGTTTAGTGTTAAGCTGTTTCTTGTTTCCATGCCAGCTCGCCATCCTCGTGCCAGGGCAGTTAATGTAAACGAACACCACTGCCAAATGCTTTTCTTTTTCTGCCTTTTCCACCACACCTTTAGTCTTAACAGCCTGTCCATCTAACAAGCATCTCTCTCGCTGGACCCTAAATGATGCATGCATTTTGGATGTCTAAACTAAGACTTTCCTACATTTAACACAGACTCCATTCAGGCAGTTGTGAATAACTGTGAATACTCAAGCTTGGTACAAAGATCTTGAGCATTTCAAGTCAAAGAGGTTGATGTGACCGACTCCTGTTTGTATGTTTCTCCAGAGTGCAGACGGAGATGCTCAAACCCTCACTGAGGTTGATCTGTTCATCTCCACCCAGAGGATCAAAGTCCTCAACGCAGACTCACAGGTGAGTACCAGCAAGAACACACACTCTGTGTTTCTGTCTGAAGTGTCTTTTCTCACCGGTTTTTCCCACCTCTACCACCCACTGAGCTATACAAGGCTACATATCAGGGGAGTGTTGTTGTGTCATCATAAAAGCAGCTTAACTGTTGACACAAACTGCTTCTTATGAAACCCCACCACTGATTCTGATTTATTTATTTGCTTTTTAATCTCATGACGTCACCGTCAGAGTTCCCTTTAACTGAGGATAAGAATAGACTGTGCAAAGCCAAAAAATGTTGCACAAACATCTGCGCATGGAGTCTGACTTAGAGGGAACGTACTGAGCAAGCTGTTTGACTGCAGCACAATCTGCCCTGCTTGTTTTAGTATGTTTCTTCAGAGATGAACATTGGTATGAATAGCCAAATAATGACCACACCTCTGCTTGATCAGTCATTTGTTAAAATGCTGTTACAATATGGACTACAGAATGTTTTTTTCGTTTATTTTAGAGCCATGCCTAGTAAAAAATTCAGATTGAAGTTTGACTTTGTGAAGGTCTTTGTGAATTTTTCTTCTTTTCTTTTTTTTTTTTGTTAACAAAGCTTCTTTCCATTCTTGCAGAAGCTTTGACAAAGTTTTCTCGCCCTTTAGTTTTACAGCACGCAGCTGTGTGAAGCAGCAGTACAAGTCTTCATAGGAGGTGGAGTCTTTGATAGAAGCAGAGATGTTTCTGGGAGCTTTGCAGCTCGTGAGATCATGAATAGAGCTTTGTGCTCAGTTAAATGTATATGTGAGAGATGATTCATTTGCAGTATTTCAGTCTTATAGCTGCTGTCTGAGCCGTCTGAGCAGAGTGTCAGATTGTGTGTGTGTGTGTGTGTGTGTGTGTGTGTGTGTGTGTGTGTGTGTGTGTGTGTGTGTGTGTGTGTGTGTGTGGGCAGCCACCTGGCAGAAGCTAACGTGCTGCAATGCAGTGTCTATCTTCCTCCCTTTTCCATCTGGTTGCCACTGGTCCTGGCACTCTTGAGAGAGAGATTCTGAGTAGAATGCCTTCTTTCTGCAATTAAAAGGCTCAGTGCAGCCTGCATGGGGTTTCTGACATTGATTCATAATAAGAACAACTCCAATGGTGGGCTACAACAACAACACTAATTAGGCAAATATAATAAAACCACCAGAAATGGTCAATGAAGTGAATTTAATTTAAGCTGAAATTAAATTTTGTGTGTTATCATAAAACGTGAACAAATATAAGTTCCTCTCCGCAAACTCACAGATTCACTTTTGCAGTCCATATCTTCTCTAAAATGCTGTTTCATAGTTATGTTCAGACATAATCCCTCAAAATCTATATCATGACGCAACACAGTTAGTAGGCTGAGTGAGCAAACATGATTACGCCATTCAAATCACTCTGTTCCATCAACACAAACACTCAGATATCCAGTTTTTTTGTGCACCTGTTCATTATTTCCGGATGAACATGTACTCAAGATCTAATTTACTGGACGCAATTGGGTGAGATTATGCACCAGTTTTCAATTCAGTCAAAAGTGGGCCTTTATGTTTTCTATCAACAGTACTTTCATCTCACTCTCTGCCCTGAAATAATCATGCAGCTTTGTCAAAGAAAGGCAACAAATATGCTGCACACAGGTACTTAAAATTCTCAAATATTATTTGAAACAGGCTGTTGGCTGAATCGATAAAAAAACAGTAACAGCTGCAAAATATTCCTCACAGTTATGTTTGTAACAGAGAACTTGTATAAAAAGCTCAGTGTGGAAATATGCATTAACACATCATTTTGTCAGTTCAATGTACAATTGTGATGCAGTGATTTCTCCATTTGCTGGGCCCAACATGGAGTCACCGGCACATATTTGTAACACAGTTGAACTGCCTGTATCATGGTCCAGTTGTGGTTCACTCTTTGTGGTTTTACTGAGTTACTTGTGCATGCAAATAACGGTTACATGAGTTGTTCCCTTTTCATAGATTTCATTGATTTTCATTGATTTTGCCTTTGAGGGAAGTGATTCCGCTTCATATGCCAACAGGAAACGATGATGGACAACGCACTCCGTACTATATCCTACATCGCTGATATTGGGAACATCGTGGTCCTGATGGCAAGACGCCGGATGCCACGCACAGCCTCACAGGACTGTATTGAAACTACGCCTGGGGCACCCGAGGCAAAGAAGCAGTACAAAATGATATGCCATGTCTTCGAGTCTGAGGATGTAAGTGTGTCCTGTGTTGTCAAGTTCACAAACCTGCTGTGCCTGTTGATGTTTTTATGAAAGAAATTAAATTGCTTTTTAAGTGTCATTTGATTGTCAGATATTATTTCAGGTTCCCATTTATCACCTGTATCAAATGTTTTTCCTCCATTTGGCTCCAAGGCATCATTTTATTTGTTTATCTTTAATCTTTTTGGGTTTTTTTTAATATTTGCTCCACGTTATTACAAATATTGTTACTAATATTCAGAAAATCTAAAAAATGTTGTTGTGCGACCTTCAATAACCAATTAGAGCAACCCACAGACGAGAAATGATGTAAGTTGGCGGGGCTTTTTTTGATTTTTGATTTTTGATGTATTTTTTCACCACAGAGCTGCTGCTTGTCTTGTTAAAACAGATTCAGCAAGACTTGGCAACATGAACAACATTGTACAGAAGAGCCAGCAACTCAGCGTCTGTGCCAGTCAGTATAAGGGCTGGACTCCAATCTGTCCGCTCTTCGTCTAATTTTGCTGCCAGGTTTTAAAGGCCGACCAGAGTTATAATAGAAACATTCAGCTGCTCATCCATCAGTTTATAAACTGTTTCTGTTATTACTGGCTGTATGCAGTGTTTGCCCATCTTTGACTTTTTTATTGTTCTGCAGAACTAATTTACAGTGTATTGATTTTGAGAGTTTGGGGCATTAATGTCTGCAAATTCTGCAGGAGATTTATATGCAAGTGTAGAATTCAATTAAATTGGGAAGTAGGGAAAATATGGCTTTGCAAAACGAGGTGCCCTTTTTACTCTCTTGATCTACATTATCTCTCAGAGCCAGCATAAGTCTTCGGGTTTTCATTTTTTACATGTTCACGTTTTACTAACTTCACTTTTTGAAACTTTTCCTTTCCTTCGTTCCAAATGTCTTTTGCACTGGGGCTGCTTTATAGCAGTACACTATGCTCACAACCCCCACAGCCCTATCAGATGAGCTTTGCTTCATCAATACCGCTCACTGTCTTTAAAAAGTGTTTGGGATTATGTCAAACTGGATGTTTTTTTAACACTGGTAATTATATAAAAGTGGATATTATTACAACATCACACAGTGATCCAGGAAGTTTTATCTTCATATTTAGTCCAATTTTTCACCAGTTTTGGACAAGTTTGCATCGTGCTACTTGGTTGAGGTTGGTTGAAGACATGCCCTGTGAAGTCATTGTGTCATAGCTGATAATTTATTGGTTCAATACACAATGTAAATATTAAACACATATATGTTAATTAATAGTTTTTACTGAAATAACAATCTCTGTTTTGTTTATTGTTTTACCCACTAGAGTACTCCTGGTTGGCAACAACTGCTTCAGAGCTGGAATATCTCTGTAACTTAAAGATGACACTTGATAAACTGAAATTGTGTATCATTCCATCACTGTGGTAAAAACAAACAATTAACTTACGTAGACTTATCTATTAAGTAGATTTTTTTTTATTTTTTTCTGCTAATTGCCTTCATTAATCCTTTTTTTATTGAAACCAGAGCGGGATGCGTTCCTGTCTTTGTTCTTTTCTGCCCTCCTCTCCTCAGTTTATATTATGCTTCAACATATTCTTGTTACACTCAGTGCCACTATTGCTTGATGTCTCTGGATGCTTTTTTCCCCCACTGTGTTGTTATTTATATGCAGCTGATTGAACATAAGCTTCTGTGGATCTAACAATGCAAGATCACAAACACATTTATGTCATGATTCCTGCTTGTTCTGTGCACAGGCCCAGCTTATCGCTCAGTCCATCGGCCAGGCGTTCAGCGTAGCTTACCAGGAGTTTCTGAGAGCCAATGGCATTAACCCCGAGGACCTGAGCCAGAAGGAGTACAGCGACATTATCAACACCCAGGAGATGTACAATGACGACCTCATTCACTTCTCCAACTCTGAAAACTGCAAAGAGGTTGGTCTATATTTAGTGCACGTGCACAAAACTTACACACAATGTATTTTCTCTGTAGAGGTTTTTTTTTTTTCTTGTGTCAGTGCAGGAAAAAAATGAGACATAAATACAAAGACTTCACATGTGTGGCACAAATCAAACTCATGCTGCAGGCCCATTACAGAAACACACAAGTATACAGTAACTAATTGGACAGATCAAGAGGCAGATGGTACAGGAAAATCGACTAAGAGCATGTCAACTCTAACATTGTTTTTAGCTGTAGGATTTCTCCTTTACCTAACACTGTGCCCTGAGAGCATTACTGGGGGTTTTAAGAGAATTAGAAACCGTGAAACAGTTTCTGCTGTATGAGCAGAGAGGCTGCATGGGCACCACCACACAGCTGTTATATTAGAGGCACATGAGTAATTTGTAGTGATGGGGAAATTGGGCTTTCTTGAAGCACTAAAGCTTCCTAACCAACTGTGTTGAGAATAAATTCACGGCTCAGGGCTCCAAGTGTGTGCAAGTAGCAGGAAAATGTATTCTGCATTCAGACAGTATTGAGATGTGCACAGTGGTTGGACGTGCTTGTGAAATAATGATGTAATAAATGACTATAAATAAATAACTAGTAATCTTTTGTGTTTATGCCTAACATAAACACATATTCACCCTAAACACATGGTGGTGGTTAACACTGTCACATTGTTCACTGAAATGACACCAGGCGAGACTTTGAGGTGCAGATTCAAAACTGCTCGTAAAGATGCTGCTGAAATTAAGGCCTGATATGGTCAGTGGTGGAAAATAACTAAGCACATTTACTCAAGTATTATACTTAAGTTCAAATTTGATGTACTTGATGTGTTTTACTTGAGTATTTCCATTTTCTGCTACTGACTACTTCTCTTCCACAGAAATATTGTACTTTTTTCTGCACTACATTTATCTGAGGTTCGGACTGTTGGTCGGACAAAACAAAAACATTTAAACGACATTGTTTTCAAGATCAGTGAAGAAAATATTCAGCATATTATGAACTATCATTATGAAAGTAATCATTAGTTGCACACTTGAGATAGATAGAATAGAAGATAATGATTTACCACATTACCTACAATAGTCTAGTGGGTAACATTTTATTTCAATTCCCCGTATTTAGTATTTATAGGCAGAATATAAACACTTAGTAAAGGGTTTAAAGTACATTACATTGTAGTTCTAATCAGTGTATAAGGGTTTATTGATGTATTTCTTAACAGCTAGGATTCCTCATGTGGGCAAACATAAGTGGAGGCTAGTGTATAAACAGAAGAGCAATACAGTAAAACACAGTTGTAATAATATAAATATGAATTCATGGGATAAGTTACAATTGTTGACAAAGACCGTGCATTAATAAACAATTAAAATATCCTTATATTAGCTTGTAACTACAACATAGTATGTTATTAACCATTTATGAAATGTTTATATACTACTTAAAAATGCTAACTAGGGGGACTTAAGGTGTTACCATTTTGAATTGTCTCATGTTGCTGTATATATCACACAGTATGTATTTCCCAGCCCCACTCTCTGAGCTGCAGCTGCTGTTATACAACAGATTCCTGCTTTGATCCATGGAGGGGAGCTAGAACAAGTCAAATTAGGAATATGTTCTAAGTAAAAACGGGTTCTCTGCACATTTTCCAGCAATTTGTAGCTGAATCAGGTCCTTCTCAGCACAGCAAATACCTCAGGGAGAAGAGACTGAAACACACTGATGCAAACAGACTAATATTTGTGACTCTGTTGTGGTTTTATCAGAGTGAAAACAAAGAAACGCTGAGAATAGTGTTGAAATATCTGTGTCTTTGCACTAGAACATGTTCAAATCAATGATCAGTGTGATCCGGTCATGGTTTCAACGATGAATGGTCGGTTTCTGAACATGATCAAACATAAAAATGACCAACAAACTGTTTGCTCCTCCTCCCGCTCCACAGCTGCAGCTGGAGAAGAGTAAAGGGGAGATCCTGGGTGTGGTCATCGTGGAGTCCGGCTGGGGCTCCATTCTGCCCACAGTTATCTTAGCCAACATGATGAACGGCGGGCCAGCGGCTCGCTCTGGCAAGCTCAGCATCGGAGACCAGATCATGTCCATCAACAACACCAGCCTCGTGGGGCTGCCACTCGCCACCTGTCAGGGAATCATTAAGGTACAGAGACACTGATGGTGTGTACAAGAGTGTGGCTGGAAGAGGCAGCTGAAGCTGTTGGATATTTTACAAGTTAAAACAAGTTAACCACATAATTTTTGTGATAATGACCAAGCCTTTTTTTATGTTTGTGTGCGTCTCTCTGTGTGTCTTAAAGGGCTTAAAGAACCAGGTCCAGGTGAAAATGAACATCGTCAGCTGCCCTCCTGTTACCACTGTCCTCATTAAGAGGCCAGATCTGAAGTATCAGCTGGGCTTCAGTGTCCAGAACGGCATTGTAAGTTTAAATCTGACTTCTTTCTGTCCACCATGAGCATGTCGGAGGATTACTTTGATATTAGTACAAAAGATGTCTGTAAAAAGAAAAAGAAAAAAAAAAAGAAAAAAATGTTAATGCCTTGTTGTGTTTTTCCTGTGGACAAATTGTTAACTTTGGTGTTTAGTATGATATATGTTGTATTGATATGGTATGTTTCTGTTTCACATTCCTGTCTCAGTTAAGATTAATCTGCTCATTATTTTAGTTCCTCTGTATTGGATACGCTGAAGAAACGCTGTGTCAGCTGTGATAAATTGCTGTTTTGACGCAGACAGTTTTTACACACCTAATACAATCCCCGCTAAAGAAAACCCTTATCTTTAGCACAGATTTAATGTGGTATTCGTTTTTCATTGGATTTTTAAACATAAACTATCGTTCCTAACCTTAACACCTCCTTTTTCGGATGCCATCCCCATCCTACTGCAGCTATTTTAATCTTCCAATGGCTTTTACTTTTGTGTGTGTGTGTGTGTGTGTGTGTGTGTGTGTGTGTGTGTGTGTGTGTGTGTGTGTGTGTGTGTGTGTGTGTGTGTGTGTGTGTGTGTGTTTTAAACATCAGATATGCAGTCTGATGCGAGGAGGTATCGCTGAGCGAGGTGGAGTCCGTGTGGGTCACAGGATCATTGAGATCAACGGGCAGAGTGTGGTGGCCACAGCACATGAGAAAATCGTCCAGGCCCTCTCGAACTCTGTTGGCGAGGTTAAACTGAAACGCACACATACTGTACACTCACACAGAAGACAAAGACATGCAAATGCACATGTGCAAATTTGTAGCAAATATCTGTGATTTTTACTATCACTGTTATTTTATAATGACTATACACAGCATAGAAAGATTGCACACAGGTTGCCACGGGTTTTACACATCACATTCAGTTTACTAAAATAACCTTGACGAGTTGTTTCAGCCTGCGCTTGGAGACAACACGTTTTTAACTGAAAGCCTGCCGTACAAAACTGGGGCATTGTGTGTAGGCATTTATCAAGCAGCACAAGTCTAACAGAAGATGAAGTTCACCAGCATAATGGGAACTTTACAATCCAGCATGTTACAGCAATAAAAGTCAGGACATCTCGGTCTGTGCTGCTTCAATTTTACTTTGACGATCTTTTTTATTTTTTAAATTCTGTCTCTGACAACTCTGTGGAAGCGTAATACCCGATCACTGGAGTAGTCAGAAACATACATTAAACTATACAAACTATACAAACTATTGAACCCATCACCAACGTTTTAGTTTGATTTCTGTGTAGTCAATTTCACACTACTTTTTACATTTTAAGTCTGCTATATACGGTACAGAACACTACACAAAAGTTATATTTAATGTTTTTAGACACAACATAAATGATCTTTTAGGGTTCAAAGTTCAATTTTGGTGTTAATGGGGTAGAAACTGCTGAAACTCCAGCTTTGGAGTTCAGAATCTTTATTACTGGTCTTTGAAAGTTGACAAAGACAGAATATTAATGCACAAAAATACACACACAAACTGACACACACACAATCCATTTTTCTGTTTTCACACAGAATAAATGTTTGAGATCGTGATGTTATTTCTCTCACTGGCAGATTCACATGAAGACTATGCCGGCGGCCATGTTCAGACTTCTAACAGGACAGGAGACACCTATGTACATATGAACGATGGCCAGGGACCGTTCCCCATGACGGGCTGTCAGCTGTGATTGGTTATCTTACAGGGCAAACCAAGCTGAGCGGTGACCGGGGGGGAGGACGGCTTCTCCCTGTCGATTTATTTCTCTCTTTTTTTTTTTTTTTTCTTTGAGCTGATGACTTCAAATCTTCATCTCTCCCTTGTCTGTGCTTATTAACATGCAATGGCCATTTTATTGACATGAGACGCTTTTTCCATCTTTAGAGCTGAAGAGACAGCGTGTGTATGTATGTGTGTGTGTGTGTGTATGTTTGTGTGTACGTGTGCGTGAGTGGATAATGTTTGTTATTTATTTGTCCTGTCTGTGCTTTTCTGTGTGTGATCGTGTGTATGGACTTATCGAGTGACTGCATCACAATTTGTTTTTTTTATATTCATGTAATGGAATATGATACTTCTACTATACTTCTTGTATAGTTTCATTTTCTTCTCTGTTTATTTATTTGTCATGTAAATACATATTTGCTAATATTGTAACTGAAGGCAGTGGGGAGGGAAGGGCCACAGCTGCATTGTAAATATTTATTGAATCTTGCTGTTGAATTGAAAGCAGGCCTTGATGATGGCAAAGACACAATTAAATGCCGGATATTGTAGTGGTTGCCAGTGAAAAAGGGGAATTACTTTAGTGTTTGAAATGTTGGTAAGTTGATATATATTATGTACATGTGAATCAAACCAGTGCTTGCAGCAGGGGTTTATGGGAGAAACGCCATATCCTTTTGATTTACGTCATTTTACGGCAATACACAAGTTCAACCTCTGAATGGTCTTTTCTAAATCTCATGTACAAACATTCACACATTTAAATAACAAGCAACGGAATTACACTTCTAACATGCATTAATTATGCTTTTGATATCAAAGTCACATGTATGAAAAATGAAGTTTCTTTTGCGTGCTACTCTACTGTATGTTCATCTTTAGTGTTCCTGACTGAAACTCATGAATACTATGAGTGGATTGTGAATGTAACTGTGTTGTGTGAGCTGTCCCATTGCCATAAGCAGTATTAGAATGTCTGTACATAAAGATTAACGTGTCTAGTATTGTGCTCATGTTAAAAAAAAACTAAACAAAACACACAGGTTTAGTCACATCTTCCCACCTGTATGTTGGCTTTCAGTCTTGAGAGGGAAAGAGAGAACTGTGAATCACACACTGTGACAGAAAAAAGCCTTACAGCAGAGTAATGGCTTTACAATGCATCGTAGTACAATTTTAACCATATGAACATTATCTGTGTGCATGCTTCGTAAAGTAGTATCATGTCATTGTGGCAAGATAATAAAACCTGAGCTAAACCTGGCTGGTTTTGTTGGACTGGATCAAACTGCAAACTGTTTCTGAAATGTTTGTGTATTGTCATATGAAGGCGTGGCCTGTGCACCTACTTTGACTTTCACAGTTAGTCTGTTTTTATGGAAGCCCACTGCCACCAGCAAAATAAAAAACTATTGAAAAGTTATATATGACAAAAATAAAAACTCATGGTCATTCAAAATGATGAGATTCGTCAATTTTTGACTGTCTCATACCTTTAATTTATATATATATATATATATATATATATATATATATAGTAAATCAAACNGCGTGGCCTGTGCACCTACTTTGACTTTCACAGTTAGTCTGTTTTTATGGAAGCCCACTGCCACCAGCAAAATAAAAAACTATTGAAAAGTTATATATGACAAAAATAAAAACTCATGGTCATTCAAAATGATGAGATTCGTCAATTTTTGACTGTCTCATACCTTTAATTTATATATATATATATATATATATATATATATATATAGTAAATCAAACTTTTGACTTGTGTCAATTTTGCCTCAGAAAGAGTCTTACTTTCAGTCACATAAGCAGGTTTTAAATATGAAGAAATAGAGGAGCTGCTCACAGCTGAAAAAGGAGAATAAATTGTAGAAGGTATGACGATGCCAGATCTTGGAAAACAAAATGTTTAAAAAAATTTTTTTTATTTTTTATGAAGTTAAATGACATTGGCGCTCCAAAGTCGTACTTTGACCAATGTCTGCTTGCTGGTGCACGTATTGCATCGTTTCCTGCACAAAACTGTAAAGTACATTGCTTTGTTTATACACTAACTACAAAACAGTATATCATTACAATTATTAAATTGTTCATACGGCACACATTACTATGTGGTGTGGAAAGAAAACTTTTTTCACAGCAGAGATTTTTGCTTGTCACTGCAGGAAAAGCACAGCTGTGTCCCAGTTCCCCACATACTAACTGTGAGCAAGTCCCAGTCTGTAGTGTCTTCACGCTGCAAAAGAAACGAAAATGTCTGCTCAAAGAAATCCATATGCAGACTAAACCTACTTGATTTTTGAGTTTACTGTTGAGGTATGGTGTTTCCCATGATGCAATGCACACACAGGTAACAGCAGAGCTGCTCACAGCTGAAAAAAATGGACAAGGCAGCAGGAGCTTTCTTTTTGTGAGCTTTAACTGTTGGTGCCATTCCAAAGCCTCCATTTGATTGATCTGCATTGGCACTTGTGTTGTATTTTTTTCCTGCAAGTACAAAACTGTACAATACATTATTTTCTTGTTCACTAACTGAAAAATAGTAAACTATTCCAATGATCATATTGTTCATACTGTGCATAATATTCGTATGTCGTGTGGAACTGGAGCAAGTTTTGAGCGTACAGTGTGTTCATACTGGAAAAGTAATTAAATTAATTAGATATCTTAGATGTCTGTGTGCACACTAAATTTGATCTTTGGGTGTCACTCGGCAGCTCATCGCTGGAAAAACATTATAATAAATTGAAGATGGTGGTGAGACTGCTCCATGAGATTCTGGAAAAGAAAATAGGGATTAAATCTTTAGAAAAACATTATGATTTTAAACTGACTGGCACTCCAATCTTGCAGCTGGATTGACATGCATCTGTTTCCTGCACTCTAAAATACATTGATTTCTAGTAAAATAACTATAAAAACATTTATCAAGACAACTAGTAAAGTGTACATACTGTATGCTAATGCCATACATGGAATTGGTACAATTGCATGCCAATGATTCCACTTTGAGCCTCTGGTTCCCCCTAATGTCTATAATTAGGAGTTGCAGGTTGTGTAGAAAAAGAACTATAATAAAGAAATCCAACACACTTCAATTCATATTTGATTATTTAAAGGGTTTATTTACCAAGTTTACAGTGTTTAAAATTATTTAAATTCCAGATGCAAAAGAATTGCAAAGGATAAACAATCATAAAACAATTTAAATGTTGGTTATATAACAAAGTTGATCATCATAAAATAATCACTCGTACCATTTGATGCTAATTACATGTCTTGTGCAGGGGATAGAGCAGTCAGTGCTGTTATTAGTCTGTCTCTTCAAACCAGCTCTGTTATCTTTCTCAGGGTCAATGTCCAGTTTGTGGATGTCTGCCTATCACGCTGAGTCACTCTGTTTTGTTTCACTGTGGCGGGTCACATCAGGGGTTCTGGTCATTCTGGTCACACTTTAACATGACCTTTATCCCAAGACCCTGACGCGTGGTTTCAAAGGCCTGGACTGCCTGCTCCAGAGGGAAGCGGTGGGTCACGAGGGGCTTCACATTCACTTTACCTGACGCCAACATTGCTATGGCCATCGGCCAGCTGCAACACAGCAAGACAAATATTTTACTCAAGAGTTCGTTCTCTCTCATACCTAATAATTACCTCATGAGTTGAGCTTCAGCCAAGGACATTAATGTTGTAAATATTACTCCCTGTAAGGTTACTCATAGGGGAACTGCCTGCAGCTTTGCTTTAAACCTTCACGTATAGAACAAGAGATGAACATAATAGATATTTTCTTACGTGTTGCAGTAGCGGAAGACTCCTCTGATGTCCACTTCTCTCACAGCAGCGTTGATCAGAGGAATAGTGGCCATCTCAGAGCTGAGACCCACCAGCACCACCACGCCTCCTGAACGTGTTGCCTGATTGAAAAAAATAAAAAAAATCAAGTATAACATGAATTTGTTTTATGATTCTGCAGATACTGAAACTCTTCTTCACGGTGGATGAAACGAAGTGACAGATAATAGGTGGCGGTGGTGAAAGAATTCAGATCCTTACGACTAAAAGTCCTGCATTCAAAATGTAGATTAATTATCAAACATAAAAGTCACATACATAGATGGCAGTTTGGATGCTGCTCTCAACACCAGTGCATTCAATAGTGATGTGAGGCGGAGCTCCAAGCATGTCCTCTACACTCTTGGCGAGCTGCTGGGGTCCATCTCCTCTCTTCACCGTCACCTGGAAGTCAGCACCCAGCTCTTTGGCCACCGTCAGGCGCTCTGGGAACAGATCTGAACACAGCGAAAGAAGTGGATTAGAGACAAAAAAAATTCTACCAGAATCTGTATGCTGTGTCATTTCGGTTGACATAAGTGTTTATAAGCTGCGTGTGTGTTACCGGTGATGACGACCTGTGAGGCCCCCATTGCCTTGGCCACAAGCAAACAGACCAACCCAATAGGTCCTGGAAATAAACAAGATGCGGACTGTAGACACTGCATGAAATACGATGTAACACCTCTAAACATAAAATAGTAATGTGCAAGCATTATTTTAAACACGTTTTGAATTTGAAATTTTAATGTTCACATACAAAAGACTAAGAAAAGACTAACTGAACCTATACTATATGCTTTAACTTAACCCTTATAGGAAATGATCAACTGTTTCACCTGGTATTGTTTAACACAGGTACCTTAATGTTCATTGGCTTTTCAACACAATGGGTTTGTTACATATTAAGTCTCATACGAGCTGTGTAAAGGTTCACAGGTTTTTTGCCTCACTTGAGTTTTGTTGAGTCAGTATGATTCTCACGGTGTTAAACCAGATTCCTTACTTGCACAGACATGTTATTTAAATACAGGGCAATCATCCCTTCTATATTAGTTTGCAGTACGCCCTGAAATGTGCAGGAATCTTCCTACAACAACTGGTGACTCAACTTATCATTGTGCAAGTTTAATCGCTGCGGCTCATTTTTACCTGCACCACAGATGAACACGGTGCTGCCGAGCGTAACGCCGGCTCTGCGACAGGCGTGGATCCCCACAGACAGAGGTTCAATCAGAGCTCCCTCCTCAAATGTCACATTATCAGGCAACCTTGAGCAAAGAAACGGAGAGAGCAAAGGAGGGGAAAAGCAGAAGAGGATATATGCAAAGATTAGGCAAAAGAGTCAGTTGGCAGTCAGAGATCAGGCAGTTGTTAAGTAACATCTGCTGCATGGGCACGTAATCTTGAAAAAAAAAACTTTTACTTGTAACAGAAGTTGGCACTGTGCGTGTAGTATCTGCACAGGTTTCCATCGTCTGGGGGTGTGGCACAGAAGAAAATGGTGGGAGACAAGTTATATCGTCCGTTTTTGAAAAACTCGTCCGTCTCGCGGGGCACACCTGGCTCAATGGCCACTCTGTCACCTAAAAAACACAAGTCAGCTTCACAGCACTGGAAACGTTTGTCCTAGCACCTTAAGTGAACTTGTTTTTAGTAACATAACACAATGTGCATTGTGTGACATTAGAGTGCCATGAATGCATATGCAGTATGAGAAATACTCCACATATCTCTGTCCGTATGCTTTGTAAGTTGAGATAAGTAATATAACCTTTTAGAATGATAAATATTTGTTTGAAATGTAAAAGCTGAAACGTTTGATTCCTGAAGTGCACATTGCATTAGACACTGCCACTGTTATCACACAGCTCTGAGACACACACACCACTTACCCACTTACCTACTTTAAGATGCTTGACTGCTGATCCAACCTTCACCACTCGCCCTGACGCCTCGTGCCCCAACACCATTGGCTTTGTTAGTACAAAGTCCCCAATTCGGCCGTGCTGCCAATAGTGGACATCAGATCCACAGATTCCAACAGAGTGCATCTGGAGCAAAACCTCTGGGTACCAAACATGACAGGATACAAGACAGGGACCCAGTGACGCTGACTGATACACATTTTGTTGTCAAAAATGGACACCACAGACAAGCCTGATTCCAGACCTCTCACTCATTTTCTCATTTTAGACTGAATGTCTATTTCTTGACACCAGTGCATTGTAAGTTGAATTGCACAAATAATAATATGCACTAATATTTTAAGACAGATTTTTTTTAGCCATGCCAAAATGTACTTCTGACTCTGAAATACATTTCAAAGTCACTGAATCAAAAAGTAGTTATGCAGCAGTTTGAAATACATTCATGTGGGAAAATGAATGGAGGTGCAGCTGCAAAGCATTTTGACACGCAGCTGCTGCTTTGAAATTGAGAGTCAGGTTGTTCAAAGTTAACAGGACTGCATGAGGTTAAGTGCATTTGAAATGATCATCTAACGTGCACACGATTTTGAAATGCTTGATAAGGTGATAAACTGCACCTCAACATCGGGCATTTTCTTTTATAGAAACACATATTTATATACAGTATATATACCATTAGGTCCTGGCTCTGGGACGGGGCGTTTTTCCTGTCAGAAATGGACGAAATGCAAAAAGGCGACAGTCCGTTATTCACAGACTGTGACAAACATGCAAATGGTACAAGTTTGTTGTCGGTCTCTCACCAGCCTGAGGTCTCCCTGAGAGTGCAGCACCACGGACAGATTTTCCTGCGCCATCACGACATGCAGCAGTGAGCTGTTAACAGGGCGACGACGGCGCGAGACGAGAAACCGACAGAAACCTCGGACCTGTTTTGTGTTTTCTCTCTGTGCCAAAGTACAGACGGCAGTCAGCTTCCTGACAGTGAGGCTGCTACCAAAACAAAGCGTGTGATTGGTCAAACAACTGCGGGACAGTCCACTGTGTAGGGGTGGGCGCTACCATGCTACACACTAAGCTAAAGTCTGTTAGCTTAGCACAGAAGTATCATTTCTGTGGCACTTTCTGGTGGGTTAGGGTTAGGGCTTTTATATGTCTGTGTCCAGGGGCACATTGATTTATAATCCATCCATGCCTGTTCAGATCAACTAATCAATTTTGATCGGGGCAAGTTTATCCTCATTCTGCTGTCATAGCAGAAATTGAGAAGCACTGCACACACTGAGACAGATTACAGATTACAAATACAGTACGTATCATTTATCTTTTTCAGAGATGGTTAATTTCAGTGGGGAACATGAGAAATTAGGGACTATGTTTGAGGGATGAAACAATTCCTTTGATATAATGTGGACTAAATTACAAAACGAGATCAGAATTATCCATGTTACTCTGATTTATTTTATATCAGTGTATACATCAGCACTACAAACATGAGTGTAAGAAGGCAATGCAAACATAAACAAACTCATAACTCATCTGCTAGTACATTATCTACAGCTTGAAACTGCAAACGTCACAACTAGTACTTCTTCTTTAACATGCTTTTCTCGAAGTGCATGTTTGCTGATGTGTGAGCTTCACAGTTGGAGCATTCCAGGATGGAAATCACACAGATCACCTGAATATTTTAGCAGCTTGTCCATGCTGACATACCCTTCAGTGAATAAGTCAAGAGAAAAAAAGCCAGATCTTAACACACACAGCAAATTTCTTCTAACAGATGTTGAATATCACCTCATAATTTAAATATTGACTGCACAAGACCTTTAACAGAGGTCAATTATCTAATGTTATCTTATGAGAAACTAGTACAGACATTTTCTCAAAGAACACATAGTAAATAATGATAAATGCCTTACCAGAAAGCATGTTACTAGATGGATAGTCCTGAAAATGACCACGTAGAGGGGCTTCAACTTCTGATGAGTCTGTGTCAGACAGTTCATAACTGTAAAAAGAATAATAGGGACTTAATTACTTTACTGGACAGTTTACATTTTATTGAGATATAATTCTAAATATTAAACATAGAAGCCTGACATACTTGCTTATGCTGACTTCTTCTTCACTGTACTCGTCGTCTGTTTGGCAACTGAAACTCTTAGAGGATCCCTGGAAAACAGAAACCAGTTTAACTGTGGTGATTACAGTAATTTATGTGATTTGCCACTGTGTAATTGCCTGGTGTGCTTACCTGTGCTACTACCTGCTCATCCTCTATTTCCCAAATCAACCTCCCAACCACGTTTCTCACTTCTGAAATTGCAATCAGAGGAACATTGCACAAGTTATAATTCATAAAAGTGGTTTACTTTGAAATGAATCATTCATTAAAGTGGTTCCTAGCGTTTTTGGCTTGAGCCTTCAAAGTGAAGCAGCTACTATTTGTAATATGTCAAAATGTTAACAAGGGCTTCAGGGAATAATGATGTATTTTTTCACAATGCTCTGACATTTTACAAACTGAGCAATCAATTGATTATTAAAGAAAATAACTGTCATGTCAATGTATTGATAATAAAAATAATTATTGGTTGTAGCCTTACAGTTCTTTGATGGAATAATATGACCTTGCCTGAGGTTTTGACACATAGAAAAAAATGAATTTGATAAAACACAAGTTTACATTAAACAAGCTTTAAAGGTCTTAAAACCAAAATCAAGACAAGGGCCACCAGATGGAGGATTGACAACCTCTTATAGCTAATATTCTACTTCAGTGTCACAAATTTCTAATACATTTGCAATTAATCTAATTACATACACAGTAATAGTAAACCTGGGGCTTTGAATGAACATATAGTAGTCCTCACCGTCCTGCACCGAGGCTGGAGGCAGCACATAATGACCAATGCACACAGACTTTACACTCTGGCGCTTCTCACAGGCAGACAGAAACAAGCTCTGAAAAACTGTCACCTTGTTGCACAGGTAATCTTTGCTCTCAAATATCCTGAAAAACAAAATTAAAGTTATAGTTTTAAATGGATTACAGAGGAATGCCTTTTTCTAAATGAAAAATGTGCAGTTTTTTTCAGTTTTGCTACCCTGCTTTTCACCTCACAGTATCTGGACATGCAGCATCTTCACTGAAAAGATAATCTGCTGTCCTCCAACCAGCAATGGTCCCACCCTCCTGCACTACAACAAAGATATGTTATGACCAAAAAGCCAACTCCAACTACCAAAATCAAAGTGTGTGCGCAAAATGTATGTCCAAGTTACAGATCCTAAACGAGATTTGTACACTTATTATTGTATATTGCATATTTATTCTCCTTTTAAAGACAATACAAATCTTTATTTAGTCATAATGCTAACATAAATGGCAGCATCTCTTTATCATGTAAAGCCTTAACACATGAAATACTTTTTTTTTTAAACTACTTTTTAAAAGTGAGGTGTTTATTGAACTTTTGATGAATAAAAACAAGAAATAATAATTTTTTTATTGCATTATTTTTTTTGTTTTTTCATGAGTGATACATCAGATTTATGACAATTTATTTATCTCAATTGGGTTTTAAATACTTACTCCAGAAGTTGTAACATGTCTGTGGCACACTGCTTGAAAACCAGGCAGACTTATTCGTAAACATAGCACCAGACCTCTCTTTTGTCAAAATAGTTGTTTGCTAGGTTTAGCTAGGAGTATAGCTCTATTTTCTCAAAAATGGTGGATATTGTTGAGCTTTAATCAGTGGTGCCTGTGGTTTGGCGCCCAAACGGCTCTGCTGCTTTCAAATGCTGTCGAAAACTGTCGGAAATTTGGGATTCAACGACGAACCGGATATACGATTTGCTAGGGAGGCAGGAGGGGGAGGTTTGTTTGGGACTAAAATACTGCGTGAGATGAAAGGGACAGGTCACATGCAAATGTTATATACAAACAACAGGAAGTTAGCTATTGTAGTTTGGCCCGTTTGTCAACACAATCAACCAGTGTAGAAGGTAGGTTCCTTCAAAACCCTTATAGGCCCGACTGCCGCGGTTTAGTGTCAACAATCAGTCATCACTACGTCAAATTTGACCACACAGCAGACTTGATAAGCACACACCTTTAGATTTTGCGTGACTTACACTTTCCTTGATATTATTATCTCTAAAGTTCATCGGACAAAACGTCCATAAATCCGCTTAGACAGAAAAAAGACGCTCCGTATAAAACCAGAACTAGCCTATGAATGATCACCTTTTTAAGTTTTTTTCAGTATCAAAGTAATTCATTGATAGTTCTCAATACATATAATGGTACACAGCAAACAGGACATGCTAATAGGGAATTCGGCGTTCATAATTTTCCAAATTGTAAACAAACAGGCTAAAAATAGCGTAACTTAATCCATGGCATCCATGGCAACATCCATGGCAACGTTGTACGCTGGGCTGCTTCCTGTTTTAAAGGTTTGGAGAATACTTTTAACATTTAATGAAATATTGTCCAAATAATTTTGTTGAAAAAAAAAGACTTATATTATAACCATACTGATATTTAAGATCATGTTAAACCCCTATCCCCGAATGAAAAGTAAACATTTGGCTGCTTTTATGATGTTTGGCTTATTTTCCAATCAGTCAAATCTGGCAACACTAGAACTAATATTTGACCGGTGGTAGTTAACCCGTTTAATCCCAAATTTTTCCCTGCAAAATAAGTGCATGCATTTCACTCCATAGACCTCCCTAACATATAATATATATGAATTTTTTCATTTCATGTTGGTTATGTTAGTGAAAATGTAGGTTTTATACTTGGCAACAATTGTTGCCGGTGGGAAACCGCATAGTCTAAATTTACACAAATTCTTCAATTTGACCTATTTACACATGTAAAGAATAAAACTAACATGAACATGAGAAACATATTATAACTAGGCATGGTCACAAATGTGTTTAGAACTTTATTAGATACATTTAGATATCATTTCAATTCATACTGAAGGGAACTAACAAGGACAACAACACAATTACTGTATTTCATAGTCTCATAAAACGGTTAAATAACCGTAGAGCTAAGAGTATTTGAACTTACAAAATAAGAACTGATACTAGTTTGTAAAAAATAAAATAAATTCACATTGTGGCAGTACCTTAGATTCACTTAACATTTACTGACCACTAACATCATGGCCGGAAGATGAGTGCACAGTGTTATTCAACAGAAACACAAAAAAGTGCAGGTAAGTATTCACTTTACCGCAAAAACAGTGTATAGTGAAGGCGCACTATTAGTGACAAAAATCTGAATATTTATTTTACAGTCTTATGAACCAGTTTCAATAGATTTGATTTATGTAACAGCTCAAAGGTTTATCGGTTAGATTTTACTCTCCATGAAAAATCTTAAAGCACTCAATGTGGAGTGGTACGTCACACTTCTCACATCCATACACAGTGCGGTTGTAGCATCGTCTGCATCTTTGGTAACGTTTTCCTGTGTTTACAGGCCAGTGATGTTTCCCATCACCTCTTGTGGAATCCTGAGGTTTCACAATTGCAGATCTTCTGCCTTGCCCAAGAGGCTGTTTACCATATCTCTTGAGGAGATCCAGGGACAAAACCCGCTGAAAGGTCAGGAGGTCATAATCACTGCCAACAACATCTCTGAAGAACAGCCAACTATTCACCACTGCACTGTGAAGGGACCAGGCCAGGATTGGCCACCACCACTTCTTTGACCTTATTGCAGATCTATATCTTGACACATGAAGATCATGCAGATCCACGCCACCCATGTTTTGGTTATATGTAAGGAAACACAGAGTTGGTGGCACTTTTACAAAAATGCTTTTTCTCTTTGCTCCACCTGGGATGCTTGACCCTCTGAATATCTTCCTACAGCATTGGTTGCCATGGTTACAACATGTTATCCTTCCATCGCACAGTAACTTCTCCCCCTCTGTAAGGACTCTGT